GAGTTTCACAAGGAGAGGGGAAAAGGGAACAAGTGCCATCAGGGTCAAGGGACATTCTGGAAGGGGACCCTCCTGAGGGCACAGAGCAAATTCTGATGCTGCCTCCATTGTGCCTGAGCACATCCAGCACTAGGACTCAAATGAGAAGGCTTGGCGGGGTGCACCGGCTGGCTCTGGGGTAACGTGAGCATCTGGAGTCATCAAGAAGAATTCCTGATGGACAGGGAGGTCCAACCACATCCCAGAGAGTTGGAAGGGCTGAGGTTAGAGGAAGGGAGACAGCAAAGAGCTCTTGAAATGAACCAGAGGCAAAGGGGAAAGAATTTATTACCAAAATACCCTTGTAGAGCTGGGTGGTGGGGGAACTGCAGGCTGGGGGGCAGAGATAAAAATGCATAGTTCAGAAAGCTTAAGAGAAGAGGGAGCTGAATGTGTGGGGACATCCTGGGGTACTGTTCATGGGCTGGCAGAGGACTGCTTTGACATGCTAATGAGGGCCTGGAGCTGGCAGCGTGGGGACAGGATGAAGGGTGGCAGAGGACCTCTGAGGAACTGGTAGGCGGGTATGGGCTGGGGAGGGGCTCTGGGTGGGGGGAGGGTTCTGTGATTGAGAGGAGCTCCTCGGGAAGTTCCCACACACACCTTCCATGCGCCCCCTATGAGTCAGGGTTCGGATGGGAACTTGGGACCCTTTTCTGAGAAACAGAAGTAGAGAATAGAGAATCCAAGATTTCGGCAGCTTGCCAGGTAGGGCAGGAGCTAGCAGGTTGGGTTGCCATAGGCCTGTCTGACAGGGGGAGAATGGAAGAGGATGGGTTAGTCACTCTCACCGACACACTTAGCCTGCGTGCCTTACACACAGGTGATGACACACTCCTGGCTGCACACATACACCCCTGCTGCCCCACATAATGGCAATGATATATGTGCCAGCCCATTGTGACACACATCTGCACACTTGCCACCAATGGGGGCACCATTTCATACTAACGGTAACATCCTATATCACCTGCGTCATCTCTTGTTGTCAGCAACAGTTAGACGTACACCATTACACAGAAATGGTGTCATGTCCCCAGAGCCTTTGCGTCTGGCACAGTCAATGTAAATGCCACCCTCTGTGGTTGTACACTGCACAGCATGCACACTGTATGTGGTACCCTTGCCTTACACCCAAACCATCGCACAACGCCACTGACATATTCCACTGTAACAATAACCCGCTTAGCTGCACACTACCACAGACAATACACTTCCAGCAGAGTCACTTCCCATCAGGAGGGACACACCACCACCACACACTGAGTCACATGGCGCAGACCCAAACCTGCCCTGCTAGCACCTAGTACCCTCTCCCATGGTTCCATCACTACCTGCATGGTCCCACACACGTGCACCACTGCCTCCATGCTGTGAGAATGACTGGGATCCTAACCACACACCCTGACAGTGATGGCACCCTGGCCATTATCAGTGACAAGAGGCGGGGGGGGGGAGGCACTCATCAGATGAGCCAGGTGGCCGAGGGCCCTTCTCTGTGCACCGCCTCACAGCTCTGTTTCTGTCTGGGGCACATGGCCACCCCATCAAACCAAGAGCAACTCTGCCCTTTCAGGCTCACGCTAGAATAGCAGGATGTGGAGTTGGCACTGGGAGCTTTCAGATGTCTCCCTGCACCCACCAGCTGAGGTGGGGCCCAGCCAGCAGGCTCCAGATCAGGGCTGGCAGCCAGCGCTTCCTAGATGCCTCCTGGCCTCCTGCGTGGCATCCAGAGTGCCCTTTGGACTGAAGCAGTTGCAGGAAAAAACTGGCCGACCTTTGGACGAGCACCCTTCTCACTGATCACCACATTTACGGTCTGTGACAGTTGTCATTCGTCACACGCTGTTCCTCGATCCCCACACAAAGTACTGACATTAGCTCTCTTGATTGGCTGCCTAGTGAACATTCAAGGCATGTACATATCATTTTAAAAATCTGTTCAAATCTGGCCCCCTGCCCCAGCCCAGAGAGCTCATAAATAAAAGAAGAAATTCAGCAGCAGCAGCCAGGGTAAGCCACCTTAAGCAGAGCCATATCCATATTTTACCAGGTGACTCTTAGCTGTCCAGAGAGCAGGCTCTGCAAGGACCGGAGGCCAGGGTGGGGGAGGTGACTGGCAGCTGGCTGGATTAAAGATGCAGGAGATTGAAGAAAATGCTGACAACCCACATGACATGAGGACCCTGATCTGGGTGTGAATTCATTTTTATTTTATTTTTTAGTGAGAAACTGGAGATAGGAAAGACTGTAAATGTCAATGTAAAAAAATATCTGCAGAGCAAAAGTTACATTTCCATAGGCTGTGGGATGTGTCAGAAGAGGAGCAGACTCGTGTGGTGGAAGGACCCCAGCGTGCGGTGACAGGCAGGCCCGGGCTGGCATCCTGGCTCTGCCCAAGACTCACTGTATTACCCTGGGCCTTGTCTTCCCCATCTTGAAAATAGGGGTTTGTGTGAACTAAAGGAGAGATGTAATTTATGCAAAGCACCAAAACGAGCTCCTGAGATATATTGGGGACCCAGTTGGTTGCTTTGATTAGTAGTATTATAATCACTAGGAAATGCTTATAATATTTAGCAACTTTTCTGCAGTGATAACAGAGCATTTGGGAACCATGTCCAAACTGGTAACACTGAACAAGGAGCAAGTACTCATCTCTCCACCATCTTTTCTTGACAGGAAGCACCAATAGCTAATGTGTCATGATTTACCCTAATCATTCAATAGGGATGAAGCCACCAAAACTTGACTGACTGTCCTTTTATTCATCAGTAAGATTTTCTGCAGCTAGATATGATTCATGTCAGCTCATGCAGTTTTAATAGACTCATAGAAACTTGGGTTCAAAGGGGGTTTTAGCTGTCACCTGTCACCCAACTGCCATCATCCAGGGCTGGGGAACTCACCACCTCGCATGAGGCACCTCATACTATGGCTGGACAGCTGCAATTGGTAGACAGTCTTTAGAGCATCTGTCTGCTCCCTTTACCTTTCCCCCATTGCCCTAATTCTGTCTTCAGCACCAGCAAAAACAATAGTACTCTTCTTCCTTTTCAATGGTCATTCATTCATCCAACAAGCATATCCTTAGCACCTACTTCGCCAGGCACCATAAGTGCTAGTATTACAAATTGAGCAAGACCTGCCAGCCCTGGGAGGGCTAATCCCCCTTCAGTACTCTCTCCTTCAGGGGAGACATCCTCAGATCTTTCAACCTTCCCTCATTTGACCTGTCCAGAGCCCACACCAAACTACCCCCTTCTCTTCTAAACAGCCTTGATCTTATCAAATTCTATCTTAAATTGTGGTGCCCAGAACTGAGCTCCATATTTTTCTAAAAGTTAAGTTGGGTTTTTAGCCCAGCTTGGTCGACATCCATGTCAAAGGCAATGTCTGTTGTGGAAAAACCCCAATTGTAACTACAGGCTCCCGGCCAGATCCCATTCTAGAAGAACAGAGAGAAAGAAGGAAGGAGGGAGGACTGTGGCTCCTGAAATGGCAGGATGTCAGGTCTCCCTGCCCAGAACTCCCTTCAGGCATTAGTGCCAAATCTGTCGTTCTAACCAAACACTCTCCCCTCTGCCCCTCTCCATTAGTGTCTGCCACAGGAAAGGGAAGAAAAATCAAGAATGAGTATGCCAATGGCCCTACATGGTGCCAAGCAGGGCACTCAGACATAAAGGAAGGACCTTCCCTATACCAGCCCACAGCCTGTAAGGGGAGAACAGAGATGAGCTTCAGAAGAGACTCTGCAGGTGAGGAAGGGGGTCTACCAATGGCCTCTGACTTGTGGGGAGGGGGTTCCCTACTTTGAGGCCTCTGCTGAGAACATGTACAAAGGAACAGTCCCCCCTCACTGGAACAAAAGCATGCCTCCTTCCTCTCCCAGGTCCGGTCCTCTGCAGCTCTTGCCGCTCCCTCCTTGGAAAAAAGCCATCCTCTTACAACGCAGAAGTCATCCCCACTCTGGCATGACCCTGACTGATGTGCAATCTCTTGCAAATCTTTTAAAGTCCTGGGCCAAGGCCCTCCTCTCCGAAGCCATTTTCCTACACATCCGGCTGGATTAAAAGACTCATTTTAGAGCCAAAAGATGGCAGGTGGGATGGAAAGGCTCATTATGAGACAGTAGTAAATCAAACAAACAAACAAAAAGAGTGGGAGAGGAGGAGGAAAGGCCAAGGGTGGGGGCAGATGTTGCCTGCCACCTGGAGTCCCCTTTTCTTCCCTGGGCCTAGGAGAGAAGGAAATGGCCTTCCAGAATAAAGTTTCCCAAAGGGGTCCTTATTTTTCACAGGATAGCAGATCTAGAAGGGCGGGGCTTGCTCACGGTCCACTGCAATGCTGCAGCTGTCTTCAGCCTCGGGGCTCCTCACCCCTATGGGGACCTGACCAGTATTCAGCAATGTTCATTGAATGCCCATGTAGTGGGACACTGTACTGAGAGGCTGCAGAGATGATCTGGTGGCAATCCTGCCCTGTAGGAAAGAGGCGTGCAAACAGAGGAACAGGGGCTCCTGGAACTGGGGTGTGTCTCAGGGGGTGGGAACTGTGAGGAGAGTGCGCCCAATTCCACCTGGCGGAGTCAAGGAGGGCTTTCCTGCACAGATGGCCTTTGAGTTCTGCTTTAAAGAACCCTTCCTCCATCCCCTTGCTCCCACTGCCCCTCAGGGCATTAAAGCAGCTAGTTTGTGGTCCTAACACATGTGGCCAGGACAGGTGGCAGCAGGGGGGATTGGCAAGGAGAGGAGAGCAGGCAAAGGTAGAGAACAAAGGGGAGTGGAGGGAGGAGAGAGGGGGAAAGCAGGGGAAATGAGAAAGGGAGCGGGAGGAAGAAGAGGGGGGGGGAGAGGGGGAAGAGAAGAGAAAGAGAGGATGCAAGGAGAGAGAGGGAGAGAGATTTGAATTTCCCATCTGAAAGGGGAGAGGTAGCACGTCAGGGCCTGGCTGAGGGGCCTGATTGGAGGGCGTCTCTGGCAGCAGCAGCAGCAGCAGCGGCCCCAGCTCGCCAGGCGGAGTTGCACGAGGCTGCGAAGCGGCGGGAGCTGGAATAGCAGAAGCAACCGCCTCGTTGAGTCCAGCCGGAGCCCTGCAGTGGCTCAGACGGTAGCAGGGACCGCCAGGTCGGTGCTGGCCATGGGCCGGGAGGGCGGAGCCGGGCTATGGGCAACAGGGTCCCGGCTCTCGTCTCGAGGCCGCAGGGCATCCCGGGAGGCTGGGGTTTATTGCTTTGGGGGTACAGCACCCCAAGACTGCTCGGGCGCAGGATTGGGAGGCTGCATGGCAGTAGCAAGCACCTTCCCGGGGCGCGCTGGCCGCTGGCCGTGGTACTGAAAGGACAGCTCCCTGCGAGGGGGGAGCGAGCAGGCTGAAAGGGAGTGAAGCCGCATAAACTGGGAAAAGGTATGGGCCCCCTTCCCACCCCCAGGAGCGCCCCCGCCACGGGCAGAAGCTCCAAACAGCCCAGCTCCTGGGGAGTCAGGACCGCCCCGAGGGCAATGGGAGACTCAAGTCTGAACCCAGAGAACAACTTCGAGCTGGGGTGGGGGTGGGGATCTCGATCCAAGCTACTTAGCGAGAGCCTGCCAGGGCCCTCTTCCCCCCAGAGGAGGAAGCCGCCCCCGTGGGGTACAGTTCAGGCTCCCGGAGTGAGTCAGAGGTCGGCGGGAGAGGAACAGACAGACCAAAAAGGAGGGGAGAGCCTAACCACCGTTGGGGGTGGGGGACCAAAGGGACTATTTGTTCTCAGAGGAGGCGCGCAGGTTTGGGCAGCACAGCAAGCCGCCTAGGGTCATTAGGAAGAATCTCTTTTATGCCGTCGCCTGCCCCACTCTGCCCCCTCCCCTGGCAAAGTTTGAGACCTGGCTGGGTCTTGAGGTTGGAGCTATGTGTTGGGGGAGGGGCACTCTCGGTGGCCTATGGAGAGCTGGGCAGAGGTGCTGGCTATGTTGGTCTGTGAGAGGGGCGCCAGGGTTCCTGTTCCCTATTCTGGCGGGGGGGGGGGGGGGCTCAAAGCCCCAGCCACTTCTGCTCTTCTCCCGGAGCAGGGGCCCCACCCCCTTCCATTCTCCACTGCCCCTTCCCCTCCCCCAGGGCTTCCTTCCAGGGGCTTGGGGGGGGGGGGGGATAGACGGAAAATCCCTGTTAGTTGAGGGGGGCAAAAAAGCAAATGAGTGTTGAATTGAGTTTCAGTGAATATACTAGTAGACTGGACTTGAGCCATTAAAAAACAAACAAACAAAAAACAGAAAAACAACTTCAAGGACACCCCCTGCAGGTGCCTCCGCGTCTACTTGTCAGGTGGGAGGAGCCCAGTTCCAAACAGGCTGGGGCTCAGGAGGCAGAGCCTGAGGAGGTGCCTCTGCAGCCTTCAGGCTGGGACGGGCTGGGACCCGCTGGGAGAGAGTCAGGAAGAAGCTGCAGATGCGATCTGGGTCCAGGGCATGCTGAAGGCAAGGAAACCGGGTGCTGCAGCTGCCCTTCCCCCACCCCCTGCTCTGCCTCCCCTCCCCCGGCCCAGCATCCCCACCACCACCACCCTTCGAGCAGCGGGATAAACCAAAGCTCCCCGCAGAACCGCCGAGGAGCGCCTCCTGGCGGTCTAGACGAAATCCTCAATTGCACACAAACTGCTGGACCTCAGCACTCCTACAGGCATATGGCAAATCCCTACACACACGCCTGCACACGCCCACGCGCGCACACACGCTGCCTAAGTTCAGAGTCAGAATGCAGATCATACCTCGAACGCGTACATCCTCACATACTTGCTGACACAGAACATTAAATTCAATCCAGCTGGCTCCACCACGAACCAGGAGATGCTGCAGACACTGGGATTGGAAAAATGCACAAGATACAGGGAGGAGCCCAGAGGGACCGGGAAGAGAAAGACACATAACTGGACAGAGAGCACGAGCTGGAGGTAGTCAAGGCTGCCCTAGCAAGTACAGGGGAAGACATCATCATATCTCATTGAGGAGACCCAGGAAATTTCATGGAAGGAGTGACAATTAGAGGCATCTTTGAAAATGAGTACTGCTGCTGATGATGATGATGACAATGATGATAATGATGGTGATGACAGCCAATATGTACTGAGCACCTACTATGTGCCAAACACTGCATTATCTCCTTTAATGTTCACAACATGCCTTGGGCATAGGTGTTATTGTCTCCATTTTACAAATGAGAAAAGATTAAATTACTTGCTTAAGGTCACTTATAAGTAGTGGAACCAGGATTTGAACTGGCAGAGATGAGGTTAAGAGGTTTCGAGGCTGTGGAAACAGCATGAACAAATGCCCCAGGGTTTAGAAGGCATACTCTGTGTTGGGGCACAGCTGAGGCAGAGCCACATGCAAGGTGTGGGAAACGAATGGCAAAGCAGGCAGGTGCTAGACTGTGCTGGACTTGAAGGTCAGCACAAGGACTCTGATTGGTTTAACAGGTCGTGTGGAGCCATGGCAGGGTGTGTTTGCATGAGCAGACCTGCCCTTTAGAAAGATTAATCAGACGGTCGTGTGGAGGATGGATGAGAGCTGGAGGAGAGACAGTTTAAATGTATGCACAAATCCAGAGCCTTGAGGCCCCAACCAAGGCATTATAGCAGCCACAGGAGAGAGGAGGGTGTGAACACAGATTGTGAAGCTACAGTCTCCGGACTTCTCCCTCAGCACCCATCCCATTTGTAACTCACCAATTCCTTGTGTGGTCTTTGTCCAGTGTCTGCCTCCCCAGCCGGCTGAATGCTGTGACAGCAAAGGCTGGGACTCCCTTGTGCCCTGCCACAGCCTCAGCACCCATAACAATGCCTGGCAGAGAGCAGGTGCTCTAAGAATATTTATAGTGTGAGTGAGTGTGTGAGTGAATAAATGAAGAAGTCGCTGAGTCTCGAGTTTTCAGTTGAGGCAAGTGTAACCAAGCATGCTGGAGGAGAAGATAGTTGGGTGGGGGAGGCAAGGATGAGACTGCTCCCTGGACAGGATAAATTGAGATTATCCATGTGACAATACCCAGCCGAGAGTTAAATGTGCAGGTTTGAGGAGAGTGGGTGAAGGGAGGAGGGTGAGATGGGGGGGAGGAATCAATCTGTGGCTATAAAAGGACATAAACCTATAAGAGTAGGTGAGATTCCCAAAGGAAATAGTGGGGGAGGGAGGGGCAGGAGGGGAAAGGAAGAGAGATTCCCTAATGAACAGCTACATTTTAAAGCAGCGATTTTCAACTAGCATGCCACTGCACACTGGTGAGCTGCAAGAATGTTTAAAATATGCAATACCTGCCTATTTAGTCAGGGGCACTGACCCCTTTTCCCTTAGATTGTGAAACAAAAAATGACAACAGCCAACACAACAATAGCCATCTGGTGTGAATGAATCAAAATTACACCTATTTTTTTTTCTGTCAGATTGGCAAAAAAATATTTTTTCTGAAGTGCCCAGAATTTTAGTAATTAGTTTATGTAGCCAGGAGATGAAAGAGGTTGAAAATTGCTGTTTGAAAGGACAGGAGTCAGGAAAGGAGAGAGTGAGAACCTGTCTGATAAGACCACAGAGTGCTGTGTCATGGAATTCAGGAAGTTCAAGAAGGCAGAAAAAACCTGGGGGGCAGGGGCAGGCAGGGGTCATCTCCAGCATCTGATGCTACACAGGGATGGAGGAGGACCAGGGCTGTGAAAACACTCCTGGGTCTGACGGTTAGGCAGCCTCTGGCGAATCTGACTAGGGTAGTTTGGGTGGCACTGCAGAAGCAGCAAATCCCGGATCTCACAGAGCTGTAGGGCTTAACTGGGAGGTGAAGAAGCAGACACACCAGGTAAAGACTCTCGCCATGAAGTGAGAGGGCAGCGATTAAGAAAAGGATGGGGTCAGGGCAAGAGTTGGAGAAGGAGGGGATAAAAGACCTAAGGATGCGGTTAGAGATGTGAGGGACAGGGAGTGATGAATGGATCGAGGAGGAGGTGCGAAGAGAGAAAATCTGGAGTGAAGGCCGATGGGTTGGCTCCCAGGGAAGGAGGGGTCCTCTTCCTCAGGAGCTAGGAGGAGGGGAAGTCACAGGAGCTCATACTAGCTGGCATTAATCATTTTGATAATGATAACAGCCACCATTTACTGAGCCTCCATCATGTGCCAAACACATTCCTAGGTTTGTTCTAACCTTTCAAAGTGGTATTATAATCCTCACTTTATAACAAAGACTGAGACTCAGAGATGTTAAGTCAATTACTCATTATCACTCAGCTAAAAAGTAGCAGATTGAGGATCCCTGTCAGGTATGCCTGACCCCAAAGCTCACAGAGCCTTCCCCTGCATCACATGAAGTGTGGAGGAAGGTCACCTGCTGAGCGGGATGGTATAAGAGGACATTGGGCCTTGAGATATTGGTTAGGAAAGTCTTGACAGGGTGAACAAGACACTGCTTAAGAGCTGAGAGGACCATACTGGGAGTGGGCAACAAGCTCTGGACATAAGCATGGAGAAGACTCAGCCCTTGAGTGGATACACTGCATACTGGGGGGGGAGGGGTGGTAATCAGTGTTTGCTGAATGAATGAATGAATGAATGGAAACAGGGGAGTCTGGAGAGGGAGACGGTTTGGTGTAGAAAGATAGCATGTTGAGTCTGAGCAGTGCCCAGAAAAAAACATCTAGGTATCATCAGTATCAGAGATTATTAAAGCCCCTGGAAAGGATCATTTTTCCCTAGGGGAAGGTGAGAGAGGAAAAAGGCTAAGTCCAGAGTCCTGAGAACATCTTCATTGAAGACACAAGAGGAAGAAGAGGAGACAGCAAAGGACAGAGATAGAGAAGAGGGGACAGAAGTGAAAGGAAAATAGAGAAGTAGAGGAGAGAGAGCAGTAGGAGATGGGGTGGTGGGGAGAGAGAATAACAGAACCAAGAGAGGAGAGGGGTTTAAGGATACAGTGGAGTGGCCAGCAGTGCAAATACTTTAGAACAGAAGTGCCCGGGAAAGGGCTCAGAAGGAACACCTGGTCACGAGAGACGTGCCAAAGCAGCAACTTCGGGAGGAGGCTGGAACTAAAGTCCAGGTGCCCTGTCAACCAATTTGAAATAGCTCGAATTAGAGTCCTGTGTCTTCTACCACCACCTGCAATTCCTTGAGCAGCGTGTAAACACAGGAGGAGGAACCCAATGGTTCCTGGAACCATTCAATGTTTAAGTTGTGTGTTTTTTCCCTGTTCTTAGAAATGCAGTCTCTTTACAATGTTTGGAACCAAACGAAACCACCCTGATAGACTGAGCTGAGCAATCTTCAAGCTCAGAATGTTGGGTCAGGGTGGGTTCTCTTGCATTTCCTACAAGTGCTGGTCCGTTTGGGTGTGTCCTCGTCAACATGCAGTCAGCAGTGGCTAATATTAATGAGTTCCCACACACCAGGCACTGGGCCAGTTTCTTGTCTTCTCCTTCAAACACCAGTAGAAGGGTAGCCTTAACATACCCCATTTTGTAGGGAACTCAATGAAGCTTTCCCAGGGACCCAGTCAGTACTGGAGCCAGTGTGTCTGATGCCAAAGCCCGTGGGGACTTTTTCTACTCCATCATGATTTTCCCTCCTCAAAACAACCAACTTCTCAGGTGGTCTGACCATGTAGACATCTCAAATAGACTCTCAGGCCCCATTTTATGGAAAGATCTCACTCTGACAATATGTTTTCTCATTTTGAAAGAAATGAGGGAAATCCATCAGCAACTGAAAACCAAGTGACCTTGAACTCCACCTGGTTGCAATATCTGGTCTGGCTTCTCTGCCACCATTTCGCAGGACCTTTTTCCTTCTAGCAAAACACAAAGACCCCAAGGCTGTGTGGGATGAAAGGCCTTGGGAAGTCATTCTGCCCTCAATTGACCATCAAGCCACATCACACTTTGGACAGCTCACGGATGTCCCATCCACACCCAAAAGGAGATTTATGGCGGCTTTGCCTATGAAAGAACCAGTGATACTAAATGGTTAAAATAAAAAGGAAACCTCTAGGAGTTAGAGCACCGGTGTTCAAATTCTTAGGGATGTGGAGGAAACAGGGTACAAAGGAGGCCAAGGGTGGAAGGGGGGCTCCAGGCTCTCTACCCCTGCCCCCACCACTGGAATAGTTCCACTTCTACATATTTTGCATATTGAGATTCTCATTAAGCTTTTACTTGAATAAAATCTTCTGAGGCAAAATAATAACAATTAAAAAATAAAATAAAACTGAAAGTCAGTGATTTAGGGAGAGGGAAGGAGGACTAACATAAGCTGAGTGCTTATAAGGCCCCATGGTTGGTACTTTAAAGGTTCTAAGCCCCAAGAAGAGTATCATGTCTCTAACCCCCTATGTGTAATTCAAAATAAATATTAAGCTATAAACAACAAACTTGCATGTATACTACAATAAAAATAATGTATTTCTCCATTTGCCTGTTTTCAGAAGTCTGGATATGTTCATCCAAGCTAGCTGTTTTCACTTCCTCACCTGCCCTGATTTGTGGGGCCCTGAGCACACTCTCATTCCATCTAGGGGTCAATCCAGTGGCCCAGGCTGGAATTCTCTGGTCTCCACAGTAGCTCCGGGAAAGGAGGCACTGCCATTTCTATCTTATAGAGGAGGAAAGTGGGGTTCAAAAAGGTTCAGAAATTTGCCTGAAAGACACATAGCAAATAAGAAATGAGGGTGACATTACTAGAACCTTGCTCTGCCTGCATCCAAATGAGAGGCTCTTTCTAAGACTCCTGACTATAATCAAATTCAAGCAATACAGTTAAGATGGTTTTAAAATAGGGATCTAGCCCTAACCAGTTTGGTTCAGTGGAAAGAGTATTGGCCTGCAGACTGAAGGGTCCCAGGTTCGATTCCGGTCAAGTGCACATGCCCAGGTTGTGGGCTCAATCCCCAGTACAGGGCGTGCAGGAGGCAGATGATCAATGATTCTCTTTCATCATTGATCTCTCTCTCTCTCTCTCTCTCTCTCTCTCTCTCTCTCTCTCCCTTTCCCTTCCTCTCTGAAATCAATAAAAATGTATTTAAAAACCGCCCTCGCCGGTTTGGCTCAGTGGATAGAGCGTTGGCCTGTGGACTGAAGGGTCCTGGGTTCGATTCCGGTCAAGGGCACATGCCTGGGTTGTAGGCTAGATCCCCAGTGGGGGGCGTGCAAGAAGCAGCCAATCAATTATTCTCTCTTATCATTGATGTTTCGATCTCCCTCCCTCTCCCTTACTCTCTGAAATTAATTTAAATATATATAAAATAAAATAGGGATCAGAGCCATTTGGCAGCATATGGTGTGCCTGGTACATAGCAAGTGCTCAAGAAATAGCACCTTTCCCTGCGGTTCAAGGGCATTGCGTCTTGGCCTCAGACTGATGGTGTCCCATGGTGCCTGTGAACTTGGATGAGGCCACCGTCTGTCTAACTCCAGCAACCTGCCTGTGCAGAGGTCTCTCCCATCTAACTCCCAACTCCTCTTTTGCAGGTTGGCAAATCTCCCCAGCCAGGCCTGCCAGGAGCCCTGCATGCAAATTCAGCTGTGGGCTAGGGCACGCTAACCGGAGTCATAGGCATGGACTTCGTCATGAAGCAGGCCCTCGGAGGTGAGGCCCAACCCCTCAACCAGGGTCTGAACCCAGGTGGGAGAGGCCCTCGGGGCACCAGGCACCGCTATCCCAACTCTGGGCACCCCTGACCTCATTCTCTCCCTTCCCAACCCCTCCCCTGCAGGGGCCACCAAGGACATGGGGAAAATGCTGGGGGGAGAGGAGGAGAAGGACCCAGATGCACAGAAAAAGGAAGAGGAGCGGCAGGAGGCGCTGCGGCAGCAGGAGGAGGAGCGCAAGGCTAAGCATGCGCGCATGGAGGCCGAGCGTGAGAAGGTCCGGCAGCAGATCCGAGACAAGGTCAGCACCACCCACCTGCCCACCCTGGAGTGTAGGAGGCACAGGGGAACAATGGGTCCCCAAACCCTGGCCTCAAGTTCCCCTGAATCCCAGCTCTGACCTTAGACCTAGTTCTCTCTGAGCTTCAGAAAAATGGATGTTACAGGAACACCTCCCTCAAGGATCTATGGTGATTACAAATGATGATGCACATAGGAAGTGCTCCCTAATGTTGCTGCTATGGGTCTGCAATCTCCTATTCAAAACCCTTGAGACCAAATATGTTTAGAATCCAGAATTTGGGGATTTTTGAAAAGTACCATAGGGCCCTGAGCACCTGTTACTGTTAGGTATCACTCCTAGTGGGTCTGTGACTGCCACCCTATGCCAAACAGATTAATACATGTCTGGCCACACCACTACAATAAATCAAGATTATAAGTAGCCTTCCATCAGTTGAAGTCAAGTTTTGTCACCAAAATTCGGGTCCAAACATATGGGAGAACTTTCAGATTTCGGCAATTTCAAAAGAGCAGAGAAGTCATTATGAGCAGGTATTGATTTTAAAGGAAACCCCACACACCGCCTCTCTACTTCTGGGGACAGACATAATTCTACAAGAAGGTATCCTTATCCCCATTTTATAGATAAGAGGACTGAGGCTGAGGGAGTTCTCATGAGTTGCCCCAGCTGAGTCTGCATGACCTTGAGATCAGCTCTCTCCTTGCCCTGTTCATGCTCATGTCTGCCCTCCCCCTCCCCCTAGTATGGGCTGAAGAAGAAGGAAGAGAAGGAAGCTGAGGAGAAGGCAGCCCTGGAGCAGCCCTGCGAGGGGAGCCTGACGCGGCCCAAGAAGGCCATCCCTGCGGGCTGCGGGGATGAGGAGGAAGAGGAGGAGGAGAGCATCCTGGACACGGTGCTCAAATACCTGCCCGGGCCGCTGCAGGACATGTTCAAGAAGTAACCAGCCCTCCTGCCCATCCCCACTCCACTTGTTACTTTTTTTTTTTTGGTTCTTTCTTTTCTTTTGATTCAGTTAAGTCTCAGTTCTGACAGGGAAAACCTCAGTTGGCCTCTGCCCACCTGTCCCTGGCTAGGGGCTCATCTCCTTAGCACTCCCTCATACACCCTTCATCCCAGAGTATCCAACCCCACCTCACACCCAAGTTTCTTGAAAAAGGGAAGACAGCTATTCCCCAGCAGGGGCATTATCCAGTGTGGGAGGCACTGGGGCCCCCTTCTAGAAGCCTAAGGTCCATGCTAGTGTGGTAACCCCCATACATTCCTTCATGCACCCCACTGCCAGGAGGACCACTGTCCCCAGCCAGCCAAAGTAATGACACATTCCAGCCCTGCCCAGTATGCTGACCTTTGGCTTCTGACCCCCAGTGGGTTCCAGGTCAGGGCAGGGGTTCTGGGTTGTCTCGCTCTGAGGAAGGGAGTCCGGGTAAGCCTGCCCTGTGAGGGCCCAGCCTGAGAGGCCCCCTGTATTCTGGGAAGGAGGCTGAGGCTCTCCTTCTTCACTCCCCCTGGTGACACCCAGGAGTACCCCTGCCCCGACCACCACCTGAAAAGGTATAGCCCCCACAAAGCCAGTCCCTCCAAATGGATCCTCTTTGGACTTTAACTCATCTGTGGAGGGGCCCAGGGTAGGGTAGCTCCTTGTTCTCCCCACCCTCCACTTAGATCTGGGGGGCCCACTGCCAGTCTGGGCCCAGCTTGCCCAGACAAGGGGCTGCCCAGGCCCCCCCCAGAAAATACTTGGAGCCATTGGGCAGCGATGGCCCATGCCATGGGACCCCCCCATTGGTGCAGCCAAGCTGCCCCCATTCCTATCCACCCCTCATTCCCACCACCCTGTCCTGTCTATGTGCTTCCAGGACCCCATGGTCCCCTGGAGGACCCTTCCTGGCTAAAGCCCCAAGCCTTTGGGGAAAAGCCAGTCCCCACTTGACAGAGGCATCTGTCCATTCATCTCATCGGCCAAGAACAAACTCTCCACTGGGATGTGGGAGACTGGTGTTTGTTCCTCCCACCACAAATTGTTAAGGCCTCTTGCTCAGTCAGTTTTGTGAGAACTGAGGACCATGAAGCAACAAGAGAGGAAATTGTGTGTCCATGCATGCATGCGTATGCGTGGCAGAGAGCGCATCAGCAATTATGTGTCCAGAGATTGTGCATATGGTTAGAAAGAAAGAAAGAGAGAGAGAGAGAGAGAGAGAGAGAGAGAGTCTTGAGACTATGAGTGTGTGTTAGTCCCTGTGTTAGAGGTTGTGTATGTTAGGCAGCCTGTGTATATGTGCTTGTTTGAGGTGGTATATATGAGTTGACATTGTGCCCTATGTGTGTGCTAGCCATCTCACATGTGTGGGAGAGCTTGCATGTGTGAGCTTGTATTTGCATGTGTTTTCAAAGCATCATGTGTGTTAGGAGTGATGGGTATGTGTTAGATGTTGTAGAAATGTGTGAGAGTTGTTAGATGTGCTAAGACTGTTGTGTGCATGTATGTGGCTCTAAAAAGGCAGGTGTATGCAGAACAAGCTCTTGGAGAGAAAAAAATATGGGTAAGATGCCTCCTCTTAGCCCCAAAACCATTTGTCACAAATAGCCACATTCAACAGGAGACTTTGTCCTTGGCCTAGAGTCCTTCCACCCTTGGGGGGTTCCTGCCTGAGGTCTTCACACGTCCACTGGGACAGATCCAGGCAGTGCCCCAAGAAGCCATGCTGGGCCCCGGCCAGGGCCTACCCCCAAAGCTGGGGCTAGGGAGGGGCGACTTGCCTGCCCCTGTGCCCCTGCCCCATTGGCCCCAGTTTGCATTCTGCAGGTTTTCCATTTTAGTGGATTTATGCTTTTATTTCAGAGAGAGACATGTGTCTTCTCTGTCCATTTCCAATAGTTAAAGCCATATCAGTTAGACTGCAATACTTTAAAGACGAGACAAAACAATCCATATGTTTAGGGAACCAGAAAAGTACCTGGTCTGTCCCTTCTCTGGGGAGCCGGGCCTCAGCAGCTCCAGCTCCCTGGATTTGCCCTTCTCCCTCACCCCCGCCCCTTCCCTGTGCCCATGTCCTGCCCCGCATGGGGCCTGTCTCTGTATCTGTGCCTGTGTCTGTGATGGGGAGCCACCTTGCACCCCTATTGTCTGCTTGTCTGAGTATGTCTATTATCCTGGGCAGGATGGTCATTCTCTAGAGCCCTGGGGTCCTGGAGCAGAGATAGGCAGGGCCCAGTCCAGGAGCCCGAGGCCTCCACACACCCTGTGTGTGAGACCCACTGGACACAGGGGTGGATCCCAAGTGTTCAAAAAGGTCTCCCCCTTGACAGGGACCCACTGACCATGAAGGTGGGGCCAGGGCACAGATCATGCTAAATGGACAGTGGAGACCGAGGCCTGGGAGCTCAGATGAGTAGTGGAACCCAGCCATACAAGATATTTCAGGTGAGCCTGAGGGACCCCAGAGCCTCAGAGTGCATCCTGGTGGTCTCTGAAGCCCTCTGCACCCCCAGAGTGGGCTCGGGGCTTTTCCCACAGGAGAGTGCCCTCCAGGCTGGCTGGCTGGCTTAGTCTGGGACACCTCCCAGACTCTCCAGACTCCTCTAGCCTGGTCCCAGCAGTAGGACTGGAGTTCTTTGGGAGGTGGGAGCAAGGAGAGAATTTCAGCCTGGGGCATACCTGGCTCTAACCACTGCCAGGTGATCACTCTCAGGTCCAGGAGAACATGATGACTATCATTCCTGACACAGACTTGACTCTGGAGAGCAGCCAATGTGCAGCACACTCGTGAGGAGACAAAATATGTGTGGAGGGTTCTAGCAGGGCAGGGAGAATCACATGATGTGCCTGGGGTAGGAGATGTGTGTGTCCCACTGGATGGGAGGGGATGAGAGTGTCGCCACAAATGGGGCAACGTGCATGTGACATACTTGGGAGGCCGGGTGGGGAGCCCCAGAATTCAGCACACACACAATATACATAGCAGACATCCACTAACTAGAGATATAGGAAGAGCAATCATTGTAAATGGTGAGAACAGAACAAGATGCAGGGGAGTGCGCACTGCCCGAGGTGGGTATGTGTACTTCCCAAGGAAGGCCACTGACATGCTGTGGGCCTGGAAGGCCACCGCCAGAGAGGAGGGACCAGGCCTCTCTGGATTTGCCATGTTAGGCACCTCAGACAGGCAAGGATGTGGGCATCCTCCACTCCAGTTCCAGAAGGTCCTGGAGGGTGTTCTTACCAGCAAAGCCATATGGGGTCTCCTCCACACACAAGCAGGAAGTCAAGAGACCCTCCCATGTGTGTGTATGATAGATAGATAGATGATTGATAGATAGATAGATAGATAGATAGATAGATAGATAGATAGATAGATAGATGGATGCACAGATGGGTGGATAGATAGGCAGGCAGGCAGACAGATACATGAAAGGGGAAAGAAAGGGCAAGAGAGACAGAGAACAGAAGTCTATCAGTCCAGGGCCCTCATGTGGCAAAGAAGCCACCCAAAAGTTGGTGGTTAGAGTGCAATGAGACAGACCCCAAGCCCCAAGAGCCCCCGGCACCCAGCTGGCAGGGTTGCTGACCCCCACCACTCAGTTGCTCCATCCTTCTAGGATCCCATAGGCCCTTGACTGCACAAGGGGGCTGGGGTCCAATTGGCTCAGAGGAGGGGACATCTCCCAGGCCTGACGATTTGCCCCCCACCATGTGTCCCCTGCTCCCCTCTCTACTCCTCTTCAAGGTGAAGAGATGGGAGGTGCTCGTGCTGGTCCTGGGGTGCAGGTGGGGGTCCTAGTGAGGCCCTGATGAGGATGACCATCCTGCTAATGCGGGGGTATCCTTTTCCCATATCTGTGCTGTGTCTTTGTTGCTCTGCTTCCTATAAATGTGTCAGTGCCTGGGGGAGGGGAGGGGCACCCCTTATGCCCCCCTGAACCTGACCAAAAGCCATGGCTGTTGCTCCCCCTTTGTATGACGCAGACGCTAACATGTACCAACCCAACCATGACAACAAAGAAAAGACCTTGTACAGCAGCTCTAGGTCTGTCTGGTCTCTTCTGTCCATCGGCACCAACAAGGCTACATGGGGTCCCAGCTGGCATGAGGGGGGCTGACCCATAGAGCTCAAGAGGCCACAAAAAAAGTCAGTTTTACCCTCGCTTCTGGCTGAGACACTGTGGAAATGACCTCAGAAATCAATCAAGACCACAGTGAGGGATGGCCTTGGAGATTTAGAGCCACTCACCTCCTGCCCTTCAAAGCCACTGTACAACCTCAGGAGCTGGTGGTGCAGCCTGGTCACAACACCCACACCCCATCTCTGGCCACCCCAAGCTCCTCGGGTGTGACATCCGGCACAGAGCCAAGTCACATGGATGAACAAGGTCTGTCATTGGTCATCCCACCAACATTGATGGAGTTCCCACTCTGCCAGCAGCAGGAGGCTGGGACACAGAAAGGACATCCCTCAGCATTGCTCCTGGACACAGACACTTCCCAGGCCTTGCTGAGGAATCAGGACCAGACCAGAACCCCCTCTACCCTCGCTGCCCTCCACCATCACCCTGCCTACACAGGCCTCATCTTTTCACTTCCTGGCTGGGCACCTCCCATCCCCACACACTAGTCTCCCAGTCACTGCCTCTTCCCTCCCACTCATCCTATCCCCACCACCCACCCGGCCTAGAAAACTGACCAAAACAACACAAACTTAACCGCATCACTCCTCTTCCCAACACCCATCATGGCCTATAGGATACATCAAGGTTGTCAAAATGGCCCGATGTGCTACGACCCCAACCTGCTAGGTCA